ACCCTCTTTTGACACCTTTTTCCTGTAATCTGATTGGTGCGTTGTGTGCCTTCGTTTTGAACTATCCCCAGTAGTAGCAGAGGACTGTGTGACAAGGAATGATTGAGATCTATTGTGATACCTCCCACCAGTACCTGGTGTGTCCATTGAGCTATTGACCATTGGTTGGTAGGACGGAGGGTGGGAGGTACTGCTGACTGATGAGGACTGGGACTGCTGGGAGGAGTTACCTGTTGCTAGGTAACTGTTGTTATGGAGATACCTTGTATGGTGTTTCATTCCTCCTCCTCCTCCTCCATACTCTATCCTCAGGTCAGGGACTGAGTAGTTGGCCCCTCTGGTGTAACTTTGAAACTTTTTACGTAATTCTCTCGGCTCATCCTCACTTTCCATTGAAGAGGAGAGAGGGGGAGGGGGTGGGGCCTTGTGACTAGAGGGGGGAGGGGGGACAGACGGGGGTGCAGGGGGGAGTCCCTCTAGTTCCTCTGCCGCTACAAGAATGGCTGGATTGACACTGAGTTCTCGTGGACGGGATCTGTTGAGAATGTAAGAGGTTTGATGGAGGGCGTTACTCCATTTAGCAGCTTCAGAAGGTGATGGAGCAAACAGGTAGTAGGTTCTCTTTAGCACAGAGAAAGAGAGACAGCAATTGGAAGGAATGATAGTTGGAAATGACACGGGACACTGTTCACTGCCTAGTCTCACATCATAGCAAGTATGAGCAATGTCTATCTCTGCCAGTACTCGTATCCTCTCTTCTCCTTTGAAGTAGATCAGTGTTCCGTCTCCCAGCAACTGCCACCATCTCCTCAGCCACCTGGTCCTCAGTCTACCACTGGATCTCTTGGTCAGGTAACCAGATGAGAGTATCAGAGGAGACAGTCCTTCCCGGCCCGCCTCTTTCTGGAGTAGCTCCTCCTGTTTCTGTGGAGTGGAGGACTGGAGTGGTTCTGATCTGTGGAGAGAAGAAGGGGAAGCCATTACTCACTGTAGCTCTTTAAAGAGAGGAAGAGAGAGCCTGTCTCTGTAACTGATTGACTCTTCCTCCTGTTAACTTGTTACTAAGTCTTACTGATCTATTGCAGCGGTGCCGGTGTGTGGGTGTGCAGTATCTCCCAAAGGAAAAGCAAGGTCCATCGATACTAGCTGTGTCTGTGTGTATGTTAGTAAAATATTATAATCAATAATAGTCTTTCTCTGTGTGTGTGGAGTAGGTTAATGTCCACTGGAATGAAGAGAATGTTAAACTACTAGCACTGAAGACTGCAGGATTGTTGATGTCATTAATTGATGTCATGCCTCATCCTCTCAATGAGTGAGTAAACCTTAGGCTAGTAAATTTAAAATTTTACTATTTTATCATTACATTTTCTGATGCATATACATGTTCTTATGTAGTGTAGAAAGTTTAATCATTATCAAATTAGAGTTTTTTTATTTAGAATCCTACTCAATCTTGTTTTTTTTTAAATTTTTTAGTCCATGGTTTTTTCCAAAAATGGCCAAAAAAATCACTCCAAATTTTTATTACATTTTCTGATACATATTGATGTACTTATGCAGAGTAGAGAGATTAAGCAGATTCAAATCAAGTTTGGATTTTCTATGATTTTTTAAAGTTGCTCAAAAATCGGACAATATAGTCCCTGTCAAGTACATCCTTTGGATGAGTGCATGAGACTGGTTTTTATTCCATCGTTATTGGGTAGGGAAGCAGTGAATGATATAGAGAGAGATTGGCTTTCCCTACCAACACGTTTCGGTGGTCTTGGGTTGTACAATCCTATCTCTTTTAACAAATCTCAATACTCAAGCTCAGTTGATATCACTGGCCCA